ATATAACTGGGTAGTCACAAAAATAGACTGGGTATTAGATTATGTTAGGCAATGTTATTTGTTTTATTGAATCAATAATGCTAATATGATTTTTGTTTAAGTTCTTATCTTTTAGAAGTATATACTAAAGCTTTTACAAATGAAATTATATTATGCTTTGAACCATTTAAAAATATTCCAGAAAAAAAATGAGGTACAGAAAAGACATGAAACAAAACAGTAGGTTGCAATGAGTATCTAAGGATTCACAAAGCTATTCTGTTTATTTTATGTATGTCTGAAAATTTCTATAATAAAAAGTTCAAAGAAAGTATAGCACATAGTCTTACTATGTCAACAAAACTGAAAACTACCTAAGTGTCCAAAAACAGGGGAATGGTAAAATAAATCATGATTTCTACACATGGTGATGATAACAAGAAATGGCATGAGACGTCTTCCGCCCCAACTTCCCTCATCTCCATTAGCCAAGTCCCAAGTTACCTCCAATAAGCATAAATAAAAGTCTACATGCTAGTTATTTAAAATAGCTACAATACAAATTACCCCACTTCCAACAAAATTGTCACCATAAGCTCCTCATATTAATTCTGAATCAACCTTTTTATATACAAATGGAAGGAAATGCTATCAAAACCTGTTCACAAATATTAAGTGAAAAGGGCTGGTTACAAAATACTATATATATTTTACCTTTGAAAACATAGGTCATATAATTCCAAAAAAAGCTGAGGAAAAAACCCCAATAAAATGTTAAGGGTTATTTCTACTTTCTTTTTACAAAGAAAGTAGAAGTGCTTTTCAAAAGAACTGTATACTACAGAAGAGCAAAGAGGGCAAATGGTCAATTAAGGCTAATTTTCCAAAGCTTTATGAGAGCTTTATCATTAAAACATCACTAATTAGGGTAAACTCTAACAAATACCCTAATGCCGTATTTTTAATGACAGATGGCATGAAAATACTGGTTGTAAATCTGTCATTATTTATTAATCTGAGGTTGAAATTCTCATTCAAGGGCACCTGGATGATGTGAACAAATCTGCAAATCAGATTTAGAATTAAACGTCCACATTTGAGTTGTCTGATTGTCAGATACCACTTGTTGGTGTACAAAAACACCAAAGAAACGCTTCCTTTCCTAAATATTTTCTTTCAGTTTGCAGTTCCAACTTTCCAAGCAGGGGTGGAAAGATTTAAGACATCATACATGCACCAAACATTTAAAAAGAAGGCCGCTACAAAACTAGTGCTAACAAATTCACCCCGTCTTTTAATACAGACAGAAATTCCATTTCCTCTAATAGCTGGAAAGGACAGAAGCGTGTAAGCAATGTAGAGAAACTCTAGTCTCACATAAATGACAAGTGTGATATAGCTAATCCCTCAATGAATTCAAGTGTAAAAAAGAACAATCCCACCCCTAGGTAAAAAAGAAAAAAAGTGCTTTGATTAGGGACTTCAGGGCCCATTAATTTTAGAAACAGTAACATTAGCTTCCCAGTCTGTCATCATAGAAGCCCTTTGGGCTTTGAGAATTCCCACTTGTTTAGCATCTTTCTACACAACATCAAGTTACCAAAAGACTGAAATAAATGCAAAAAGTGACTAGGTTCTAGGGAAACCAGATGAGATGCAAAGGAAAGAATCCAGCAAGAGACAAATAAGGGTCGACCTGTTCCCAGGGACCAGGAGTGGTCGTCCCCATATAGGGCCAAAATGAGGTTGAAAATAAATGACCCTAATGCTCTGACCCTGGGGTGAGCGCCTTCCATCTTCATTTCTGGGGTAGGGGACCAGAAAGGGGAAAGCGTCCGACTGCCTCCCAAGGTCTCCTGGCATAGACCGTTAGCAGCACCCGCCCCTTCAGTCTGAGACAGCGACGTTGTCCCACCCTGACACTTGGCTATTCTAATGGGATCCCCCTCCGGCCTCCATCCAACGGATTTCCCGCTGCCCTCATTGCTCACTTAAGGAAGCCGACGTGCTCTTCTCCGTCTACTAGCACTCGGGCCGCGGAGATCCAGTCCTGGGGCTTCACCCCTGGGACAACTGCACGCCCCTCAATCTTGAAGCGATCTCCTATGCCGACCCCACTCCCTCCAGATCCGTCGGCAGCAGCTCCGGGCACTTCCGAGCTCTGGGCATCCCCTGATAGGAGCAGCAGCAGGACGGAGAAACAGCCCCACAGAGCGGCAGCCATGACAGCGGCTCTCAGCAGCCAGGCCGGCAGCCCCGGAAGCCCTCCCGGTCTCCCAGCCTCCACCGCCGCCGCCGCCGGCCAGATGTCGTCATCACCGCACGCCGGATTCGGCACGAGTAGTGAGCTGCAACCAGAGGGGGAGAGGTCTGGGCCAATCAACGTGCGGGGCGGAAGTGCTGCCCTGAACGGCTGAGGGCTGGAGGGCGGTGCGTAGAGTGTGGGTCAAGTGCGGGTGAAAGGGGTCGCCCGCGAAGCGAAAGTGGTGAGGTGTGTTACTGTGGCAACCACGGAGGCCAAGGACCTCACAGGAGAAAAGGATGACGAGACTGGGAGGGGCGAGGATCTGAAGTAGTGTCTGTAAATGAGGCTCCGGCTCTGGGAGAAACAAGTCCGGAAAGAGCCTTTAAAAAACTTCTAGAGACTCCCCAAGACGTATGAGATGAAAAGGCTCTTGTTTGTGTGTGTGTATTTAAAGGGGATGCTTGCTGTCTGTATAGAAGATACCCGGAAAAATACATAACCTGCTAACTAAGGGTTGCCTCTGGCGAAAGAGTTGGAGGACAATTTATCTGACACTACACCATTCATCCTATTTTGAATGCTTTACCGCGAGCGTAACAGCAACGTTGCGGGGGCGGGAGGAGCGCTGTCAGTGTGGATCACTGGGGCTGTAGCCCAGATTTCAAAGATCATCTGCTCCAGTCTTTTCATTTTATTGATGCTAAAGGCAAGTGGCTTGCCCAAGGCTTTTTTGGCGCTGAACATTGCTCTCTCTACCACAGATCCTTATTGAAGATTATTGAGGGCAATGCATGTTTTTGCCCTGTGCACTCTTCCAGTTAGCTTCCCGGCAAAGAGTAACAAAAATTGAAGAAAGAGATGTAAGAGCCAAGTACTCTACCCTGGCTGGGAGTTGGCACACGGGGCTACCCGTATACTCTAGTATTCGTGGCCTAAGCTACTGCCGCGTCGGGGTACTTTCTCTTGTCTTTTCCTGAAGATGGTTCTTTTTTCACATTTGATGTTTGCAAAGAGTAGGGCTGCTGAAAAGAAAAAAAAAAGAATTTGACTTTCTCGTCTGTCAAGTATTTCTCTTATCTGTGAGGGAACTGGTAATCTTGATTCATGAAGTTCGTGGAGAAGGTTTATTTTCATTTTATTTACTTTAATATCTGTTTTAGTTTTTGAATAGATAAAACATTTAAGTGTCAGAAAGTAAAAATCCGTTCAGGACTGACAAAGTAAAGGCAAGTGCCAATTATAATCAGTCTGTGATGTACCTAATAGACATAGGACCAGTGACAAGGCCATCGGAAAACAACGTTTTTTCCCAAGGCCACACTACACCAGCTAAATGACTCACGACCTTCTTCTTTTCAGTCATTACCACTTTCTCACCAATGACTCCAGCCCTGCTTTGTTCCTCATGCCTCTGAAAAGATTGCTGACATATCCGATCAAGAGCTGATCCTTGTGTCCCCTGTACTCTCCTCAGTCATTCAGCAGAAGCCCAAATCCTGTAAAAGTCCCTTCCTTGGTGTCTCTGGTGTAAAATCTTCCTGGCAGCAGCAAGCTAATAAACCTAACTTTGTTTGACTACAGGTGTGTTCCTGGTGGTCTTTATCTCATGGATTTTGTTACATGGTACAATATTCAAAAGGTGTGAGTATGCAGAGAAAAATTTCCCACCCACTTCTCTCCCCCAGTCACCCAAGAGGCAATCAGTGTTGCCACTTTTCTGTGTATTCTCCCAGAGATAGTCAATAATCTACAAGCAAATGCATACATTAAAAAATATATATAGTATGCTACCAATTGTGTGAAAAAGGAGGCAGAAATATATATTTATTTAGCATAATATACAAATATTTATTCTATATAAAATATACAATTTTGCTTAATCTATGATTACATATAACTAATGTATGTATACTGTATTTTACATTATATATATATACAC